TCACCCTGGGGGATCATAACATTCTCCAGAGGTCCTGCAAGCCACTTGACTTGGTCTGGCTTCCTCCCCTCATGCTGTTTCTTACCTCCCATGCAAGTTGCCCAGACTGCTACAGATTTGCCGGACCCCAATTCCTATGTTTCAGAGAGCAACATTCTTAAACACTAGTCTGCTTTGGCTCATTTCATTGAGTTTACTGTATTCATTTGCAAGATGAAGAGATAGAGATACACACGTGTGTGTTTATAAGCACACACACATCAGACTGGTAGTTTTTGGAAACTGTTTGAGGCACAGAAAATAACTTGCCTGACACGACATCAAAGAACTGCAAGAGGCCACAGCTCCCAAGGCCTTAGTGGCTGCTTAGCAATTTGTGATATGATTGATGATAAGCATCTATTTGCTCCAGTAAGTTGAAGTAGAACTGTAACATTTTGTTTGTTCCAGGAAACAGTAAGTGAAGTTGCAAGTCATAAATAATAAAAGCTAGCAAACTCCTCTTTTCACCTAATGGACTAAAAGACTTCTTGCTTTTCATTTCTGCTAATGGCCACTGTCCCTTGGCACTACCAGAGCTGGCCCATTATAGGCAAATCAAGCCTCAGTTTGTAAATAAGCAGGATGTGGTCCAAAAGATCATTTATAAGTTGGCTGTTCAGAATGCAGAATGTTTTCCCTGGGGACCATCTTCCCCGGGGGGATTGGGTTCGCCTGCAGAGCACTGTCCAGCTCCTGCCGTACCCTGGCTCTGGGTCTTTGAGGGCAGGTTGTCTGCAGTTAAGCCTCATTCTCCAGATCTAGCCTTGGTTCTGAGCACAATTTAAATATAAGTTAACTTTCTTTTCCATCTTCTCACCTCCCTTCTGGCATCCAGGTCCCAGTGCCCTCATCTCCTGGATTTTAGCACCTTCCCAAATCTGCCTTATCTGCTCTAGGCTGCTCTCCTGCTGAGGGTCTCTGTGACCCCAAATTACCTACTGCTGCCACTTTATGACCAGTAAGACTTCCATTTCCTCAGAGCAGCTGATATCAGCTGAGGGGCAATGGAAAAGCAAACCTAGCAGATATGAATTCATACCAGCAGTAATGACTGAAACCCTTTTAATGTATTCTCATGTTAAAACAGGTTGGTTGTGACACTTGAGAGTCGTTGTGGACAGTAGGGTTACGGGGTCAAAACAATGAGGATTCAGAATCTGCACACTCATTACTGGGACTCTTAGGCTACTTACAGTAGCCTGCTTCCAGAATGCTGGTTGTCAGGAAATGATCCTTCCTTGGAAAAAATGGGATGGTCACAGATTCAGATAGTAGGAAGTCTCCCCTCAGTGAATCAGCTGGTTCTCTGCCAGATCATCTCTAAGAACCTCCAGCAGATAAGCTCCTTTCATGCACACGAAACCATTAACCACCTGTTTGTGCCTCATGATGAAATCTTAAAAGATAATAAAGGATTACCAGATGTTGGTGGAAAGTTTTAACATGAAAGAGAAAGCAAAATAGAAAAAACAGCAAAACAAAACTTCAAAAGTAGGATAGTTAATATCCCTAAAGAGATAAGAAGAGATATTTTACCCATGAAATGAGAAAAGGTATAAAATAAATAGAAAGGTGCAAAATAAACAAAATGAGAAAAGAAAGCCCAAGAAACTTAGAGGATCCACCCCAAAAATCCCACATCCACACATCCAGCAAATATGGAGGGAAGGAAATTATAAAGAAATAATACAAGAAAACTTCTCACACTGGAAGGATAAGAGTCTCAAGATCAAAGGGCCCATGGAGTGAGCAACAAAGTGAATGGGGAAAAAGGCTCAGACAAGGGCATATTTTAAAAAAGCTTATAAACTTACATGCTTTAACGACTTAGAACTCTAAGAATAAAGGGAAGATCCTAGGATGGTCCTAAAGAAGCAGGGGACATATAAAAAATTAGAAATGAAAATGGCATTACTAGAAGTCAGTAAGAAAATGGAACAAACTCTTTTGGAATTCTGAGGGAAAATGATTTTCTTTTTATCTCATTTTTTTAATTTTATTTTAAAATTTTGTATATTGAGGTACCTACAATAAAATGCCCAAATTGTAGTGCACAGCTTGATGAATTGTGACATGTGAATTTACTTATGTAACCATGGGCCAGGTTAAGATATCAAACATTCTCACTAATTTTTCCCGCTTCACCTATTTCACCCATCCCTCACCCACCAAAGGAAAATTATTTTCAACCTAAAATTCCACACCAATCCAGGGAAACTCTCAATCAAGTATGAGAGTAGAATAAAAACAATTTCAGATACACATGATTTCAAAATATTTCTCTCTCTGTACCTTTACTCCAAAAGGTTCTGGGGGAGGTGCTACCACAATCAAAGGACTAAACCAAAACCAAGAAAGAGGAAGGCACAGAATGTAAGAGTTTAAGAAACAGGGATCTAACAGAGCAGAGTACAGTTACATCCCAGGGTGGTAGCTGTGCAGTGGGCCTAGCAAGGACTAGTTCAGATCAGAACAGGGGATTAGAGAGTTCCAGAATGAAGGTTCTTAGGAAAAAAAGAACTGCAATTGATGTGCGTGGACTATGTAGAACATATTATTGTATACAACAAGTGTGTTAACAGAGATGGTGAAGCATTTGTTAAAAAAAAAAAAGTGGTCATGAGAAACTAGGCAAATGAATCTTTTATAATTTAAAAAGAAAATAAATCAAATAACAGAGATGAATCAATTACTCCAGGCAAAAAACAGATTCTGCAAGAATGGTCATAGTACCTGTGGTAACTAATCTATATCTATCTATCTATATAGTTAAAGAGAGGGACAGAGACAAAGACAGACAGACACACAAACAGAGTGAGAGCAAATGAGGTAAAATGCCAACAATTAGGGAATCTAAGCCAAGATTATATAGGGATTCTTTATACTATTCTTTCCACTTTTTTGTAAGCTTGAAATTGTTTCAGAATAAACTTTTGTCAGTTTGATAGATAAGAAAAAAGTATTCGAGTGATTTTCATTTTATTTTAATCCTTAGTAAAATGGAATGCTTTATGTTAATCTGTGTATGCTCTTTGCTCCTTTTGATGTGGTGGTGGTCTATTCCCTGATTTGTAAAAGCCATTTAAAAATCCTTCATTTGCCATACATGTTGTATTTCTTTCCTGCTTTCTGTAGCCTTCTAATTTTGTTACAGATTTTCTTTTTTAACCTTGGATGGCTGGCATATGCACTCATTTCTAAACATCAAAACCTGTACTTCTCTCGGAAATGTAGATATCCTATGGTGCATTCTGCAACTAGTTAACAGGCAAAAAAATAATCTTAGAATCCTATCCTACATTTAACATTGTCAGCCCTTATGTATTTCCCTGATTCTGTATAGTTTTTCTCCAAATCATGTATTATTCTGGCAACCTTCGTAACAGAAAAATTTTTTTATTCTAAAAAAAAAAGATTAAAAAAACACAAAGTACTGGGTTTAAAAAAAAATCAATACTTTAATACTGTGCAGAAAGAAATATGGCATGTTTCTAAGATTTTGGGGCCGTTTTCTTTTTTAATTCAGAAAATGAACTTAAATGCGAAAATGAAACATTGTTAATGAATGCAAAGAAATGAATGGAAACCTAATGAATACCGTGTATGTTCTGGACACCTTAAATGAAGGTCTTTATTTTCAAGCATCTCACAGCTTAAAAAGGGAGCATTTAAGAAATCTCTGTGATAAGGACAATAGCAGTATGCACAAGGCAGTGAGCCTTGCAGAGGAGGGAGCTGTGTCATGGAGGGTGGGGTTAGGGAGAGCTTTCTGGAAGAGATCAACTCTGAGCTAAAGAAGCCTCTCAGGATGTCAGAAGGCCATTGAGTCAAAGGCAGAACATCTGACGTAACTCATGTGATCCCTAAAACTACAAGGTTTGTACTGTAATTATCTAGGGAAGAGACGGAAAAGAGATTAAATAATTGACACAAGTCACATGCTAACAAGTGGAGGTTTTAGGGTTCAAACACAGGCCATGATCTTGGCCCCTGTGCTACACTGACTCAAGGGATGTCCTAGACACTCAGTAAAATACACACCACTAAAGAAAGCCCACTACTCAGGCATGGTAAAAACCCATTTAATTGAAGAAGGGGTTCAGATAAGGGTGGGTATGGGCACTGTGGTCAAGGAATGAATTTTGAGGTTTCAAGATCCGGGGTGGGTGAGCAAAGGAGAGTCCCAGGTGATCACTGGAGTTGAAAAGATCAAACATTTATGAAGTTATGATCACCTAGGGAGAGTTAATAAGGGTTTAAAAGTTAAGGTTGGAGATTAGCAATTAGAAAAGTGCTGAAGTCATCAAGAAAGTGTGAGTGTGTGTGTGTGTGTGTGTCTCCTTCCTGGAGTGTGGGAATAATTAAGATAAAGAAAAATTAGAATAAATAAAATGGTCTGAACTTCAGAAGGATAGAGGCTGCTTTGCAGTAAGTACATGGCTTGGAAATGAAAAACAGGGCTTAGGAGTATTTTTGAGTGAAGGTTGGGAAGGAAGAGGTGATGCCCAGGGAGGAAAGTTGGGTATCAAAAAGGTGGTTTGAGTAAAGACGTTTACAATGGACTAGAGCTTCACTGGGGTTCCTTTGTAGGAAGAAGCTTCTGGGACACACGAAGTGGAGCATGGGATGGACCTGGAGAATTAACGGAGTCGGACAGGAAGGAGGTCGTAGAGGATGCGTGGGCTCGTTTAGAGGCCTGTACCCTCTAAGGGCAAGACGATGGCGATGAGGTCGCGATTTATCCCTGGCAGTACTCGGCGGCACTAGCTAGCCTAAGTATTGGCTATATCCTGTGATGGGCACAGGCATGTATGGGCTGGGGGGCTGTAATGGGGTGGGTCTGGGGATCCTAGGCTCTGATACTCAACATCCAAGGACTGAAGAGGGCCTTAGGGGCCAGAGCTCTCTCCTATCTTCCACCCAAAAACCGCGAGGCCCAGAGAGGTTAACCGGCCTACCCGGGGCCACAGAGCTGGTTTGGTCTTCACGCCTGCGCGGCGTCCTTTCCACTTCACAGCCTCTGGCGTACACATTTTGGCTTTCTCAGCACCAAGGGGACACCAAGGGATGTGTCCCTGCGTGAAGAGAAACCCTGCCGGCGTCATCTGGCGCGGACACCGCCTCCGCCAGCCGCGCCTCCGCGCGCCCGGGCCGCTGCTCTGGCTGCGCGAACGGGAAGTACAGCGGGTGACAGCACCGGGCACGCGCGCCGTGGCTGTGCTTAACCTGCAGCCACGGCTGCCTCAGCCCGGCCCCTGCTGGTTAAATCAGTCACGTCGGGGGCGCCTCTCAAACCCACGGCCCACAGAGCACGCTCACTCTCCCAGCAAACCCCGTGCGGGCCAAGGGGGAACCGCGGCGGTGCGAGGCGTGCTCCTGCGCGGGCGCCCCCTGCAGCTCCCCCGGGGCCCAGCACGAGAACAGCGGCGGCGCCCCCGCGCGGGCAAGGGTGGACGTGGCGACCGCGGAGCCGCCCCCTCGCGACCTTTCCCCGTTCCGAAAGCGAGGCCCCAGCAGCCGACGGGGCCTGGCCTCCGCGCCGGCGGGACGAACTAGGCTGCGGGGCGGGGCGTGAGCGTGGGGGCGTGGCGGACGCCAGGGGCGGGGCGCGACGGAGCGCCGCGCGGGCCGAGGGGCGTGGCCCGGCTCGTCGGAGCGGGGCGGCGGGCGGCGCAGGCCTGGTGGTGGGAGGTCAGCACGGGGGCGGTGTCAGAGCCCGGGTGGTGCTGGCCCTATCGGTAGTAGAGGCTGGGGACGGTCGCGGGGTGCGATGAGGTAGCGGGAGGGGCATCCGCGGGGAAGCAGGGAGCACAGCGGGCGCGGGCAGTCTCCGGAGAGCAAGGCCCGGCCTTTCAGAAGGCTCCCGGGGAGAGAAGACGAAACGGAAGTCCCGAGGGGCATTCCCCATCCCGTCCCCAAACGGGGTCCGGGGTGCACTTGCACGGGGCCGAGGCTAAGGTGCGAGCTGCTAAGGCAACCAGCCTGGGTGACCAGCTGCCCCGGCTTGCCGGCATTGCGGGCCCCCTGACTGTTCTGCCTCACTCGGTTCCACCCAGAGCAGACAGGGAGGCTATAGGAGGCCTCCTGACCGTTCATACTGCCTTCCTTTTCAACCTTAAGGTGAAGGCACCCCGCACACTTTCCCAACCAGGCCCGGAGATGCCCGTCCTTGCAAGGTAGAAACTTAAGCGGGAACCTTCCGCCCTAAAGGTAGGTGGAATAGAGGAGGGCACATTTAGCTTAATGTTCTGTCCTGTAGAAGGCAAATTACAGCCCAGTTGTGGAGCCGTGAAGATAATTCTGTGCTCTTATCAGCTTTGACAATAGAGATCTCTGTTCTGGAATTTCTTCCACATTCTGAAACCCCACAGTTCAGATGTCCAACAAGAAACGCCATTAGCCTAAATTTTCCCATCGATTGTCTATCATTAAACTGGAAAAACTAGATAATTAGAATACATGATAGGTTACAGACAGTAATTTCCAATATTTTCACTTTTCTAACTCAAAAAGGCTCGTGGTGGACCCGCTGTTTGACCCATTCAAGTGGAAGGATGAAATCTCTACACAGGAACACGATCTGAATGGAAGACACCTGCCATCGTGAGTCTGGCTTTTGACTAGTCACCTGATCTTCCCCAGGGTGACATGACTTTGAGATGGCAAACTTGAGTGAATGAGATATAAATATCAGCTTGCAGTTAAATTACAGAAATGGCAAGACCTATATTAGTTCTCTTTTTGTTTGGTCTTGAACATCTTTGAGTCACACTGGAAACGAGTATTTTTCATGTGGCCCTAATGAGTCATTTCATAATATTGTTACTGGTACACCCAATGACAGGAGGAAATTGGAAATCAGGTCATGCTCTTACGGTTACCACTAGTTTCTGTAATTGGAGCAGGTTCCATAAGAGATGAAGGAACAAATTTCATGATTTTTGTTTTCACTTTTTCAGCTCCTCTTCCCCCCAAAATTGATTAGGAATGAGGAAAGCAAACAGTAGTTTGGTGTGTCCACTCTGAGGTATTAGCAGTGAGTTCATCCCACTCTCGGGAGAAATTAAAGGTTTACGTGAAGGATAGATTAATTTAAGTCACTAGTGTGAATGTGCATTTTATATTTCTCGTGTTTTTCTGGTAGATGCAAACAGTATGGCACTCTGAACAGACACTAAGAACAGCTCTCATCTCAAAGAACCCAGCCCTCGTGTCACAGTATGAGAAGCTAAATGCTGGGGAACAGCGTTTGATGAACGAAGCCTTCCAGCCAAACAGTGATCTCTTTGGACCCATTACCCTGCATTCGAAATCTGACTGGATCACCGCCCATCCTGAGGCTCCCCAAGACTTTGAACAGTTTTACAGCGATCCTTACAGAAAGGCACCCTCTCCGGAGAAACGCAGTATTTATATACAGTGCATTGGTATATATTGGTAAAAACTGGTTTTGGTTTGGTTTGCAATGGTGCTTGTTGCCAGGGATAGTTTGGGCTGTTGATCCCATTCTGGTGGTTAGTTTTTATCATGGTTTTTGACATTCACTCCAGTGGTGGGAGTTTTGTAGCTAAACTGCCTTAAAAGAGGACATTTTGTCTTTCTAATTTATATTCACATCAATGAATGATAAAGGTGTATTGAAAATTTAGAGTTGGTTTATTTCTACTTCCAAATTTCTAACTTTAGACTGAGGTAAAGAGTGAATATTTTAATTATTTAAAGTCTGTGTTTAAATTTTCTTCCCTATTACAGGAGCTCTGGGAAACACCAGAATTATCAGTGAAGAATATATTAAGTGGCTCAAGGGCTACTGTGAGGCATTTTTCTATGGCTTGACAGTAAAACTCCTGGAACCAGTTGCTGTCTCTGCAACCAGGTGTGCCTTCAGAGTCAATGATAGCACACAAAACCTACAAATTCATGCAGGTGAGTGAAACAGTTTTATAATTCGAATTGAGTAAAGGATGTCTGTCTGCTTACCTATCTCATGTGCATTTCTTTTTACCTAGGGCACATCCTGAACTTCTTAAAAAAGAAGAAACCTGGAGATGCCTTCTGTATCGTAGGAATAACAATGATTGATCTTTACCCAAGAGACTCCTGGAATTTTGTCTTTGGACAGGCTTCTTTGACAGATGGTATCATTTTCAACATTGGTGGTAGAAACTTGAGAATATTTGAAGATGTTGAGAGAAAAAATTTCAACCAGTTATAATTTTGATACTTAACACTATTCTATTTCTGGTGTGACATCGTGCCATAGTGGGATGTGTGCTGTTGATAGATTCCAGTGATCTGGGTTTCTCCCCAGGCTGTTGACCATTCAGTACCTATATGACCTTGAAGCTAATAATATCTATTTTACAGTCATTTTGGGAAAATGTACATAACAGTGCCAATACATAAAAAGCATGTAGATATGCCTTGCACATACATAGCTGTTAAGCACAATAGGTGGTAAATGTCAGTACTTCAGTAGCAAGGTGAATTAAATAAATTATGGTATTTGAACTGTAATTAACATAAGTGAAAATCTGGCTAATTGTTTTCCAACTCTTTTTGTAGTCATCCTGTATAGAAAAAAATGTTATTCTTGCTAAAAGTATTGTGGTGAAATATGTCCACACTTGTTTAGTCAGAGAAGGTCACCTGTGCACAAGTAGAATTATATTTTTTTCTTAACTTCCAGATGCTTACCTTTCTGAAGGAAATTGGATTGGATAAATGTACTATGAATTCATTTCCTTAACAAAAAAATTCCTTAGTATTTTCAAATGACAACTGAAAGGAAGGCACAAATAAAAATGATAATGTAAACAAGTCAGAGTATAAAGCAGCCCCTTTTAGAATGAGCTGTACTTCAAACTCTGTTCTCCATGTACATAAAGATGGCTGGAACAAGCCCACGTGTGACACACGGAGCCAGCTTCAAGGGTGTTGATTCTGGTGCCCCGACACCAGCCACTCTGTGGAGCTGTGCTGTGCCTACCGGGGGAAGAGGCCCGGCCCAAACACGGCCTCCCGGGCCCTGGGGGGCAGCGGCTGAGCAGTTTCCTCTGTGGCACAGCAGAGCAAGGTACTGGAGGCTCACTGACACCTGTGGAGCCCTGCCGATTGTGTTCTGTAATTATCACAAGTGCATGTTGTTCACGTGATCCTTTCTCATTGCTCCGTTTGAAGTACTTGATTTGGACTATTTTTTGAGAAAAAACCTTTGTGGGAAATAAAACTCTGGAACTCCCAATTTCTCAAGATTTTGACCTCAAGACCATTGAGTTTTATAGGGCAAGGCAAATTGGAAAGCACAAGGAGTTTGATAGGGAAATCTGGGGCAAAGACGCCCCTCAGGCTGTGGGACCGTGAACCTGGCAGCACACATGTGCCCTCAGCACGCGCCCGTCGGTGCGCCGCCCTGGTCTTCCCTTCAGAAATCATCCCCTCGTTCTGTGTTGCTTGTCCTCTTCGTAGGTGTGGGAATATTCAGCTTTGCCAGGTACGGCAGTGGGTTTTACAGCTCCCGCAGTGAAGGCAGAGTGAAGAAACTGCAGAAGATGCCCTCCCATGACTACTCCGTGTTCGATGACTATTACACTCCTGAGGCGACTGGTGCTCTGCTGCTTCGGTCCTGTAAGGTGAGTTGTTTAAAAGATGGAACAGGAGTATTTTTTAAAAGAGATCGTAATTCCCTAAACTGTCCACAATCCCTAAAGACAGTAGTATAAATGAATTTGTATAGTTGTATACATCTGGTGGATGCTGTTTGAAATTATCAATAAAAACTGGATTTAAATGGGTGCCTAAATATTGAAATTTACAGTACCTGTGAGTTTTTTCTTTTGTCCTGTTAATTACATGCAATAATTACATCCTAACCCATATCCTAACCATTAGTTTAATTCCAGAATTCAGGTATCGGTAGGTAATCTCTTTCCAACTGCTGTGGTCATCAAGGAAAGCTGCCTGCCTGGGGCTTTTGGAGGCCTCTGCTCTCTGGCCTCTGGAGGAGAATGGGCCTCCCTCTTGGGCTCCAGGATGCCTCCTCTTGCAGTTAACTCTGACAGTGCCTGAGCTCCCGGCCCCTGCTCTCAAGAATGCCTGTCTCTTCATTTTCCCCTTTCTCGGTAGAGGAGACATAGGCTTTTCCTTCGGCTGGAGAAATGTGCTTTCTCTAGTACTGTTTGTTGGGGTTTGGGAGCTATGCCTGTGACAGTGTTTTCAAAGAATGTGCCCCGCATCAGCATCCCCAGGCGTGCTCGTTCACACGCAGACGGAACTCCCTCCTCCCAGACCTACTGACCCATTATCTCTGGGGAAGGGCCCCAGAACCCAGGTTGTAACAGGCGCCCCACTAGTCTAGAGCAATGGCTGTCAACCCAGAGCAGTTTTGCCACCCAGGGCCTTTGGCAATGTCTAGAGACTTTTCTGGTTGACTCAGGTGGGGAGAGGGTGCTGCCACTGGCATCCGGTGGGTGGAGGCCAGGGATGGTGCCAAACATGCTAGAGGCAGAGGACCTCTTCTCCCCTCTCTGGCCCCCGGGGGCTGGGAGCAAAGAGTGTTCCCATTCAACATGTCAGTGATGTGGAGTTGAGAAATCCTGTTCCAGGAAGTCATGAAATAAGAAAGGCAGTAAGACATTTAGGGAAATGAGAGATTAAGTCTTTGGGCAGATTGAAGTTTGGTGATGATGGTAAGGAAGTTGATTCCTTATATATATTTGTTTCTTGGAAAAGAAAAAGGAATGTGTGACTAACTCGGTATTGGTGAGGGTGGCGCTATAAAGCCTCAATGTGAATGTCTTACAGACTTTAACCCATGAGATCGGACACATATTTGGACTCAGACACTGCCAGTGGCTCTCATGCCTGATGCAAGGCTCTAATCACTTGGAAGAAGCCGACCGGCGCCCCCTGAACCTTTGCCCTATCTGTTTACGCAAGTTGCAGTGTGCTGTTGGCTTCAACATTATAGAAAGATACGAGGTAATGGGGACAAGTGAGAAAGGGGGAAGTGGTTATATAAGGAGCGAACTACCATTTTCTATTAGGCCTTTCTGTGAAACTGTAATTTATCAGAGGAAATTAGTGCAAAGATAAGCAGGAAACTGTGGTTTAAAAAAAAACATGCAAAGAAATACCGTTCTTAAAAACTTTGACTTGCCTCTGCCTTACACTTATAATTCAGTGAGAAACGGTGGAAGAGGTTTCTGTAATTCCTGTTGGTTTTGAGCAAGGGAGCTTGACCCTTCAGAACAGAATAAATAACCGATATGTGTGGTGAAGTTTAGCAAGTATAAATATGTGGAGGTGATTAGTCTTTCCCAATATGGGACAGAGGTGTGATACTCATTAGGAATGAAAGGATGATTTATTTAAGAAGGAAGAGGTCAAGTACCTAATCTGAGCATGCATTTAAATGTCTGTGCCCACATATGCCCACAAAATACATCACGTAACTCCTTGTGGGTATGACTGCTTATCAGCTGACTGCACATACATATGTCTACCCATACCTGTGTGTACACCCACCCATGTACACGCAGTCAACATCAAATTAAAAGCATAGTATAATGCCTTACAGAACATTTAACAAGTGGAAAAAATAATTATCCTTCTACCCAAGAAAACCTGTGAGGATTTGTGCATTTCTCTTTAATCTTTTCTCCTGTGCATTCTTTTGACCATAACTTGCCATCATAGTTTATGAAGTTTTGGAGAATGCTCTCGCTTTCACTGTATCATCACCAGTTGTGTTTCATATGCATGACCATCCTAATCAAATGGTAGGTCTTCATGGGGTAATTTAAGTCACTGCTTGAGATTATGTGATTTAGAAGCTAATGTTTTTCTCTCGCCTGAAGGTATTTTGCTGTGATTTGCTAAAATACCACATTTTAGCATTACCGCTTTTCCAGGCGCTGGTGAGGTGGGTAGATGAAGAGACTGCTGACGCAGCTGGAGTTGCCCTGAAACACAGACGTGAGGATAGTGGGAATCTGCCCAAACCCGTGGAAGCCTTTAAGGAATGGAGAGAGTGGATAATAAGATGCCTTGCTGTGCTCCGAAAATAGGGACCTTCAAACAGGAGTAATTGGAATAAATACTTGGTACATTCATTAGAATAAAGTGTTTACTGATTCTGCGCTGCCTCAGTAACGGGATAGAACCTTCTTTAAAGCACCTAAACCTTGAACTGAAGCTCACGTTGAACAATAAAAACTCTGTATTAAACTCTCTTCCATTGTAGTAGGCTTATCTGCGGCCACAAGCATGTCATTTCCTTCTTCAAATACAGTTAATGTCTTACAAAGGAGCTGGGACTTGCATGAACTAGCAAGTGGATAAATATTGTAAAAAAAAAGCTGTATGTGTCCCAAGAAAGGATTTCCAAGGAACATAATTTGCAGGAGGTGTTTTTTGGTTCTTTAGAAGCAATGCTCCTGCTCTGTTGGACCCAGTCAAGTCTCCCTCCCCAGCCACACCCCTTTCCTTCTCTGTACTGTCCTTACCCTCTGCGCTGCCTTAGTTTTTTTTCTTTACTGGTTATCACCTTGTCCCTGAAAGAAGCAACAACTCATCTTGGTTTTTAGCTGCTTAAAATGTGACCACCTCTCGAGAATATTTACAGGCAGAAATAACAGCACTGCGCTAACCTTCGTAATTCTCAATCTAACAGACATCGTCATTTGTGAGGAGTCTTGCAAATAATTTGTTGTAATGGTCCTCATGTTTGTGAATGCTGCACTTTTACAGTAGGCGAGAGCAGGTGTCAGGTTCACTCCTGCAAAAATACCTTTTTCTCACTTTGCATTGTGAAGTGTTTGCTTGAGTTGGGCAGAGAGCATGCTGGGTTACTTGTCAATGTGCCAGGAATGCCCTTCATGGCCTTTCAGGCTCTGAGCATCTGCTCGATTTCCACAGTGTGGAACAGGTTGAAAACCTCAGACTCGACAAACCACCTTTGCTAGATCAACATATCCTGGAAATCTAGAAATTAGGGATTAGCATTTTCTGCTTTTCCATCTTAACTTTAAGAGTATAACTTAAAGGTAATTCTTTTTTTGACCTTTGAAGCCTATATTCTTTCACTGTTACTATTTATGTGGTATGATTTAGAGCACATTTTGTAACTGAGTCAAGTGGTTTCGCCTACATTCACTCTCCTACTTGATTAAACCTCTTTAAGTCATTTAGAAAATGGTGGTTTGCCATTAAAACTAACTGGAGAGCAAACGCTTGGTCATTGTAATACTGAAAAGAGAACTGAATGGAGCATGGACGTTATGGATTCCGTTACAGGTTTTAGTTCCTCTTGAATAGTGTACCTTTAATTATTGTCCATTCTATTCAGTTTTCTTTTCTTAAGGTCAGCATTAGTTACAAACCTAAAATAACTCCTACTTGGCTAGGTGCGGTTATAGTCGTTTGCACAAGCTATAAAGCCTATTTGTACTTTGCACGGTGAGAACAGGACAAAAAAAGTCTTATTAGAATCAACTCGGCATAAAAGCTGGACAAACATGTTTTATGTAATAGGCATTTTAGGCAGCAAACATCACTTAAGTATTATGTGTACTTTTTGCATTGTATTTAGGGGCAATTTCTCAAGGGTTACGTTTTACAATCTAACTGCAACTAAATTTTATATACTATCGGTAAATCTTGTAGTTTTTAAAAACTATTTTCGCCCAGTAACAGACACCCTGGCCGATTTTGCTCTTCAATTGTTAAATGAGCAAGATATTTAAAGAGAATCAATGATTTCCAGGGTCTAATCACTTCCAGAAGTGCAATTTGAAAGATGGTTCACGTTGGCGCCTCCGGGATCGGCAGCGTCCCTCCGGTAAACAGAAGGATTAAGTCTGCAAAGACTTGGACGGCGCGGGTTCTCCTCCGTCCGGGCCCAGCTGGCTCGGCGAAGCCCAAGCTCGCTTCCGAGTCCGCGTGCGTCTGGGGCCCCGAGGTCCCGGCGGGCGGCGGGCCCTCCCCGCGCAGAAAGCCCCGGGCAGAGGCGGCGGCAGGGAAGCGACGGCGCCGGGCCGCCCTGCTTCCGCCCGGGACTCCCCGCCCGCGGGCGCGCCGGGGCGCGGGGCCGAGGGGGCCGGGCCGCCCACGTGGGCCGCTCACGTGGCCGCGCCCCGCGTGCCGGGGGCTGGGCGCGCCACGCAGCAGGGCCGGAGCGGCCGCGGCGCTCGGCAGAGCGTGGAGAGGGCTTTCAGATTTGCCTCTGGGTCCTTGCTCGGTTCTGGTCGATTATCTGCAGCAGCACCGTCCAAGGTAAATACAGTGCGGGCCACATATGTGACTTTCATTTTCTAGTAGCCACATTCGCAAATGCAGGACGAAGCACGTGAAGTTAATTTTAATCACATGTTTTATTAAGCCAGTACATCCGAGAATATTAATTGTTTCAACCTGTAAGCAATAGACAAATTATCGCGGTATTTTACATTCCCTTTTAGTACTACGTCTTTAAATTCCGTGTGTATTTGACACAGCACATCTCAATTCCTTCTGGCCGCGTTTCAGGGGCTCCACACAGCCCGTGGCTCCCGTGGCTCGTGGCCACTGTATTGGACAGTACCGCTCTAGGTCAGTACCCATTTCCAGCCTTCATGGAAAGGTGGACGTGTAAGTTAAACTATTAGGAGAGAAAGGCTTTTTGGTGGAAAAGGTTGTCCAGCAGCACCCTGTGTTCACATTCAAGCTTGTAAGCGCCTTTGCATTGGTATCGGGTCTTGCTGTTCGCTTTTGGATCTTGGTATTATCTGTGGCAGATTGTTTTTTACCCTCTCCTTTGATTGCCAAGTGCCTCGTATGTTCTTCAAATGCGTTTTTGCTTTTGGAAAGCAGAACTGTAAAGTTTTAATAACGTGGATATCACTGCTCAGTTCATTTTGCACGTGGGTACACAAGCCTGCAGCAGCTAAGTAAGCTTGCCGTGTGGTTACACCAATAGCAGAATGGGACCAGACCCCAAATCTCCCTCTTTTCCAGCTCTGCTTTGTTTTCACTGTGCTGCATGACCTCATAGTAAAGTACTGCAAGCCAGAAACCTAACCAATTACTTTTCAGATTGTTTATAGAAGGGGTTATAAGATTACACTTTCTTTCAACTTCTTTTCTACTCAAGTGGGGCCATCTGGGGTTGCTCAAAGTCCAAGAAATCACAGTCTATGTACATTTCCTTAGCACCAAAATATATATATATGTGAAGAAAAAAGAGATTCAGTCAGGAAAAGCACTTGCTACCAGTTGAGGCTTTAAAAAAAAAGCATCATGAAAAAAATGTCTACTGGGAAACAGGTTAGGTTTGAACAAAATCTGCTCCAGCAGTATGTTAAAACTCACTTCTCTCCATTTGCCTACCTGCCTTGGCAATTTCTTCCCACTGTTTTCTTCCTTTGAGCTGACCCATGTGTTTAGGATACTACTGAACACTCTGAGCCCCATCCTCAGATGTTGAGATGTTGGACTAAAATTTTGGTCTTGATCATAATGCTTTCAGTGTCCTACCACCACCCAGCTGCTTGATAGCAGCACCAGACTCCCTGGAGCTCTGATCATAAACAGCATTTTTTTTCTCTTGAAGAAGTCAATGAAAAATGAAGAACTCGTGCATGCATTCAACAGTATTTTTGGAGCACCACATGCTATGTGCCAGGCCCTGCTCAAAGCCTTGGGAATATAGCAGTGTCTAAAAAACTGCTACCCAAAGGTACTAGTGGAAGAACTGATGATAAATGCGTAAAATACTTTTATAACTTTTTTTTATAGAGTAAAAAGAGCAGAAAGAAGTGCTGTTTTGGATAGGATAGTCGGAATGCCTCTCCAAGATGATATTTGGAGGGGCCCAAATTGAAGGGTCACATCATGTACACACCCAAGGGAAGGGTGTGCCAGGGAAAGGGAATCACAGATGTTAAGCCAGAGGCTGGTGTTTTCAAGGAACAAAAGGGCCAGTGCAGCTAGAGCACAAGGGGCAAGGGGAAACTAACAGCACCAGGCAGCTCACCAGGAATCCATTGTCAAGGGTTTTAGGTGTTAAATGTGATCATGTCTGACTTGTGCTTTAAAAGGATTATTGTAGGCTTCTGTGTAGAAAATTAAGGCAGGGGTGAGGAGGGGTGGATGTGCAGCAAGAGTGGAATTGGGCAAAGGAGCTAGAAGACTGGTAATTACCCAGCTAAGATGATACTGGCTTGGATCAGGCATGCTGGCAGAGTTGGCAAAGGCAGTCAGGGTCTGGATATTTTTAGAAAGTAAAGCCAATAGGATTCGTGGAAGATCAGGTTTGGGGAGGCCGGCCAAGAGTTCTGCAAAGAGCAGGTTAAGTTGGAAATGCCTAGTTGTCACCCGTGTGCTGTCACATAGGCATAAATCAGCCTGGAGCTCAGTGGCAAAATTGGGACTTAGAACGGGGGTCATCCTTGCAGAGAAGGTACTCAGTGTTTCAGCTGATTCTAGGGGAGTCAGTTGCTAGGGTAGTTGGTGTGCTTGTTCTTGAATTGCTGGAAAGGTTCATAAATTATATACATACATGGCCATGATTTATTTCCTCTCAATAATATTTGGTGAATGAAAATAATATGTTTAAAAAGCCTTTATAGATGAAGTATTCTGGAATATCGCTTTCACTGTCCAATTTCCCCTTTAGGAAATCCATGGTCGCTGAAGTAATTTTGATTTGAAAGGAAGTTTTCTTAGGTGAAAAGCAAAGTTGCAAGTTCTTGAGCTTGCCACACGTTCTGCACCCTCAGGGCGTCGTTATGGAAGCTGAACACCAGGGGGAGCTAGTTTCCTTACTTATACAATGGTTGGCCACCTGTTGGAGATGGTAGCCGTCACTTTTATTAAAGACAGATCTGAGGGCAGCTTCTCTTTCAATGCAGTGTATACTTATACTTTTATCATGTAACATGTCAGAACTGTCTTTACATTGATAATTTTAACTAATGCTCATAACCATTTAAAATTTTAAAGGCGACGGTTTAAAGGCAGTAGATCCCTATTAGTGAGCTTTTTAAAATAAGGATTCACGATTATTTCTGATTTAGAATATTTGCCAAAGAGTATGAAAATCTAAACGTCATAAATATTTCTCCAGTGACTTGAATGGACAACTGGGTCATGAGAACCCTGACATAGAATCTGTTTTCTATTTTATCACCGGATATTAAGCTAAAGGAAAAGCAAATAAATGCACAAAAGCCCCATTACAGGTTTATTGGAGTACAAAAATGATAACTTTGTTAAAAGAGTTGGAAACAGTGTATCAGTTAAGCAAGCATTTATCTTAAATGTGCACATGATCTTAACTCATTTTTACCACTGCAGTAATTTTGCCTTTTGGGTGGGAGATAGTCTACATTTATATGGAAACATTAAGTCAACAAGGTAAAAGCAGAATTGCTTTAATCATGGGAAATGGAAACTAATAATTAACATGCTGTCAGCTATTTGATCTTTCCTACCTTTGGCCCCTATGATCTAAGGGTTACTGCTCCCAGTGATCCTTCCTATCAATGAGGACTGCTGGTTTTCAGAGGTGTGCCACGGGTGGTACCCATCCAATCCTGTGTGGCAGGTGCATAGAGCAGGGGGCAGGAACTACAGTCCACAGGCCAAATCTAGTCCACTGGCTGTTTTTCTTTACAGATTGTGAGCGAATGAGGGTTTTTACATTTTTATGTGGTTGAAAAAAATCAAAGTAGTATTTCATGACGCGTGAACATTTTTACGAAATTCAAATTTTGGTATCCATAAAAAACTACTATTGAAACAGCCATGCATGTTCATTTATATATTGTCTCTGGCTTTCTTCAGACTGTAACAAAGTTGAATAGTTGTGACAGAGACCATAAGGCCCTCCAAACCTTAAATATCTGGACCTTTACAGAAAAAGTTTGACAGCCCCTGGTTTGGAGAGTGTGTGTTGTTTACTTAGAGATTAGAACAGTTCTTAGGACTTAGAGTCTGTAACTGAATGTAGATGCCTTCACTATTTTCATGTATTACTTTTGAGAGGCTCAGCTATTACTCTGTTGTGATCATGATGTCATTTTATTCGTCTATTTTTTATTAAGAAATAATTAAGCTCAACCGACACTTCCTGGAAATGTTTATGAGTCTCTACTAGAATTGAAAGGTGTTGCAGAAAAGTTTTAAAAAATCACTTACTTGAAATGAACCTTCTTTGAGTTTTTACAACTTTCACTGGATCCAGCAACAGATGCTGGTAAGTCAATTAAAAAAACCAATCAGTCTCTTTAAATAAAAGAGCCATACATTTATTGCAAATCTAGAAGTACCAGAAATTTCACTAATACAGGACAAATCAGCAATTCTGCTTTAATTTTCTTCCAAACATTTAAAACCTTGATTATTGACATACTGAAATTGGCATACATTTTTTTTTCATGCATTTAACAGAATGGATTTAGAGCAGGTCGCTCAGAAATCAGTTATAAATATTAAATTGTATTGAACATTCATAGTAAAAATGTTGTAAAGTGCTGAAGTCATGTAGGTCTGCAAAACTGCCACAAGCTCCAAGTCCTTCTCAAGCAGTGACAGGCATTTGCTACATCCACTGTGTTTTAGTTGTGTCTGCTTTCGACCAACACGTTGTCATTTTTTCCCCCAATCCCCAAAGTTTTACAGATTGTCCTATTTCTATGGCTGATAAAATGCTATATAAAAGGTAGCAGGTGGTGATGAACTGTGCCATTTTCATTTCAGTGCAGAGAAAGATTCAAGCTTGTGTGTACCTGTACCCAAACTAGGCTGTTATATTTTTTCCCCCTGAGTTGTCATAAATTAACAGTAAAGATGAATAAAGATGGAGCAGCAAGTATCAACCATCACCTGTACGGTGAGATTCAGTACATGTGAGTAAGCAGCCCACCTGTTAACCTCACACGTGCCCTTTACATAAAAATGCTAAAATGAGAAACTCTATACATGTAGTGTAACTCAAAAAAAAACACAAAACTCAAAAACCAAAGAACAATGACCTGTTACCTGATAACTCGGAAAACTTAGAGAGCCATCAGGGATTATATGAGGATTATATAACTTGTAACTCTTAATGGTAAAAGTAAATGTCTCTGCTACCCCATGTGAAATGCAGAAATGCTTCAACAGTTAGATGTTTTTTTTTAAAAGAAAAAATCAGAAATGCTTCAGTGATTCAATGAAATATAATTCTGATTAAAGAAGATCATCAGGTATTTTTAGGTGATAAAATAAATCATTTAAAAAAGCTAAGGCGGTTTGCCATTCATCGTTTTTTTCCCCTTCAAATAACACATGTAACCTTTAATCAAATGGAAGGATCATTACAACTTGGCCTTTTATGACAGTAACTTTTCAATGTAAGAAGTATTCTTTGAGGCATTTAAGGGATTGCAGAATGCTGTTTATGTCTCAGGTTTTCTTTCTTTTGATTACTTTCATCATCCTGGAATAACTTAATAATAAATAGTGGTTTAAATTAAAGACACTACAATCACATATTTCTGAATAATTAAAAGCAACAGGAAACACATTTTTGAATGCCATTCTGTATATTCTATATTGAAATACTTCTGGTAATGACTGGCCATAAAAAGAAGTGATCATCTTCACATTTATGAAGTTCAAGTTATATGTATCTTTAAAATTTCCACTTAATAGCCAAATGTTTGGTCTTACACTGTACTTGATTTCCATGGAATATCCAGAAAGTTAAGAGGCCATAACTTGTTAGTGGAAAACCTCAGTATTTTTCAAAGGGTTTTAAATAAGTTGTTTGTATTTCTGGAAAGGAGAAATTTTGTAAATGAGTTAATTCTTTTTTTCTGGATGGCCAATTTCATCTCAATGACCTGGGCCAGATGTCATTTTATAAGATAGTATTTTAATTCATGCGAGAGCTCTTAAAACCACTTTGCCAATCGACGTCACTATTTTAAACCTGGAATCTGAAGCAGAATCCTATGTATCTTTGTACTGCTACTGAATACAGCCAGGTTTATGTTTGGAAGAGTGGGTGGTGATTTTTGTTTCGGCTTAGGAAACAAGCAAAAAGGAAAACTTAAAAGAAAAAAAAAATAGGATGTTGGTAGTGGTGTTCCACGTATACATTCCCTTTAAAATGTAGATTTGAAAGTGGGTAAGGCATACTTCCCTGTGCCTCCTGTCCCCCTTTTCCTCCCCAGCCAGTGGGACGGCTGATGCTGTAGGAAAGCAGGTCATACTGGCTCCATTTTCATACGAACTTTTTGCTCATTTTTCCCAAGGTCCATTTCAAGAAAGTCTTCAGGTATGTCTTGTAAAGCTTTCCCACGGTAACTCTCTGTCTTTGCTTCACCTGCATGGTGGTGCTGGCACAGCCCGTTTTTACATGGTCTCACAAGAGCAAGGCACACAGAGGCCACTGCCATGCCAGCTGCGCAGGAGTAGAAGGCTCTGCTGTATATCTTACTGTGGTCCACCAGCAGACCTGGGAGAAAGCATGTGCATCCATTAGCAATGGGACACAAACCATCCCTCACCCAGGCTCCCCCAAACTTAGGAGCATCTCAGTTTCTGTGCCTTCTTGTCTTTATCTCATTTCTCTAAAGGAAAAAAAGAGCATTGAAAGTAGGAATCTTTTCTAGACTGGGGAGAAAAAATAAATCAGACACACATGCAACATGCTTATTAACACCTGAGAAAATCATGGGGCTAACTGTTCTTCATGGGCTAATCTGTCCTGGGAGAGAATAAAGCATGAGACGATTAGATGTGTGCATCTTTGAAAAGGTAATATTCTTAAGAGCTCTGTTATTTTCACTGGGGTTCACTTCAGGTGTCTTAACATAGGGTCAGATTTCTAATCACCATGACTTTAAGGAACTCCTTCAGGTCTAAGATATGGAACCTATCCATGTCGTCCCTACAAGAAATCAATTAAGTATTTGCAGCATGTAGCTGTGTGCTAAATTCTGGAACACTGTTCCTAAGAAGGGAAGATGACTTACAGAAGTCCCTTAGCTCTCTGGTGCCCCAAGTTAGAGTGCAGTGAGGTTATAAATCCAGGGGTTCCCTTTAGCATTTACAAGACAAGATGGTAGAAAAAGGCTGGGGCAGCTGGGACCACAGACATAGGTCCCAATCGTGATGTCATCACTAATTTACCCTATGACTGCTGCTGGCTTACCATTCTCTGACCTTCATTTTCCTCATGTTTAAATTAAGAGAGTTGACTTAGGTAATCTCTAATTCTGCCAGTTCTGAAATTCTATGAAATATAAAAATCAGTAGATGTTTTTTCATTAGACTTGAACAGGAATCTGGCACCATTTATAAGGAGATAGTAGACAAACGTTTATATTCTGCATATTTAAATTACCTGCAAGTGGTGGTCCAGCCAGGCCTGCTATACTCTGAATGAAGACATAGACACCAGCTGCAGAAGACATCTTCTCGATGCCCACCACATCGTCCTCAGCGAGCAGTGGAATGTGGGTGCCTCCTATTGTTCCGAACATAAAGCCAAAAAATATGCTGCATGATGTGAGCCCCCAGAATTCAGTAGCAAAGGGAAAGGCAGACAGAGACACAGTCAGTAAGATGACGCAGATGAGTTCAATGTAGATCTTACGGATGGGCTCTCGGTTGAGGATGAAACCGGCTGTGATTCTCCCAAACACTTCGGTGATTGCCATCGTCGATAATAAAAAAGCAGCGCGGTCCTGGTCGATGCCCAGACTGATGCCCAAGGGAATGATGTAGAGCGAAGGTGCAAAGAACCCCAGGGTTGCAAAGAGACCAAAAAAAGCGTAACAGATAAAACTTTTCTCTTTCAAGATGGAGAAGTCCAGTAATGGGGCTTTCCTGGTGCCCTGCTTGGATCTGGTCTTGCCCAGGCTGTGTGGTGGGTTGGCCTTCGGCTCCAGCTCCACGTTGGCATGACTAGGCACATTTTTAGGTGAGGTAGTTAGTTCTACTCCTGAGTCAATGGAATCTATTGAGGTGCGCGTTTTCTCATTTTCAAGCATATATTGCACTTCTTTCCGATTTTCTTGCGCAGTGATTTTCGGGGACCCTAGTCCTTTGACACTAAGTGGTCTTAGCAATGACCCGCACACCACGATGTTGAGCTGCAGCAGGCCCACGAAGAGGAGACTGTGTCTCCAGCCAATGTTCTCCTTCAGAGCCGTGATCGCTTGGGTAGGCGAGAGTGAAGAAGTAAATCTGGGGTCAGAAACGGACTCAGAACCCAAGAGAAAATCTCGAGCAGAAGTAAGGATCCAGATTTAGTAAGAGATCATGTAAACATCTCCTCAGCAGTGTGAGTGCGGTCCACCTGTATTCCCCTTTATTCTAGGCTTTGGTGCTCTTAGGAATTAATAAGGAGAAAAATGTGCAGAATGACTGTTACACAGAAAGCAAAATATTTCGGCCCAGGTCTCCAGGAGAGCTTTGGACGGTGTATTTTGCCAGGGAGAGGCACAAGAGGTGAAATAAGTTTGTGACCTACATCAAGGTTTGGCAGACGGCAGCCTGTGGGCCAAATCCAATCTGCGGCCGGTGTTTGATAATCAAGCTGGACCGCAATGCAGCTCACCCTCCGTGGTGCATGTGGTCTCTGGCTGCTTTTGTGCTGTATCAGTAGAGTCGAGGAGTTCTGACAGATACTTACACTCCATGAAGCCTGAACTATTTACTATCTGGCCTTTTCAAACTAGAACGTCCAGCCTCTGAGCTAGATCACTGTACATCCACTCATTCAATCCTTAGTAGCAATGGATCAAGTAAAAAATACATTAATAATCTAAAACCTGATCTGATTATCCCAGAATTAAATGATACGGTTCTCCCGTGTCTAGACCGGGTAGAATGTCCTTAACTATCTGAGTCGTCCTCCTTCCTGCCAGTAAGCCGGGTTCTAGGTTGCTGACCAGAGGCAGCTTGGTGGGGCGGGCTGGACACTGGAATGTGAGGCTGGGGTCCCCCACAGATCCTGAAGGAGTCTCTTCATCATCCCAGAAAGGCTAAAGGATGTTTGTTAGAATTTCATTTTACTGTACTCGAATTCTCTGAGAGCTGGCAGCAATGAGAGACACTCTAGGTAACTTGGTTACCTAGAAGACAGGCTTAGCAACACAGCCCCCCATTCTTAGGGGGGAGCACTTATTTTTGTGGCATATGTTTTGCTCACACCCCTCGTCCCCCATTAACATGGGAAACAGAGTTGCAAATACTTTAAGCTTGGATATTTCACAGTGCTTTATGCTCATCTGGCCATAATTAGTCTAGTTTTCCTTTCCCGGCTTCACATTTCTTGAGCGCCCACCCCGTGCCAGGGCTATGCTCTGTGCTAGGGAACCAGGCTGACCAAGAGGCAGCTTCTCCCCCTTAGGGTATTCACAGGCCACTGACTTCCCTCGACAGTTTATTTTGAAAAGTTTCAAGCCAACAGAAAAGTGGAAAGAATCGCACCTATACGGCCTGCCCACCCTTCACCTAAATTCAATAATAAACATTTTTCTCTGCCTCTCTGCCCATTTCTGTCCATATATTTATAGGTACATTCATTTTTCTGAACTGTCAGAAAAACTTCAGACGCCATGATGTAATGTCTCCAAGGTAAACAAACTGTCTGCTACTTGTTCGAGTGCAATTCACATACTAATGCTACGAGAGGGAAATAAACCAGGCACTATTTCACTGTGAGATGCTACACACACAGATAATAAAACTGACTTTATTAGCATAATTTAAATCCACATTGAAATATGGCTCTTTTGACAAAAGAGAGAAATAATAGTATGACCCATCCCAAATCATTAAATTATTTATTTGGGAATGGAGGTTGCAAGTCTACCCACTGACTGTGTGTGTGTCAGGCATCTTCCTAGTTAGGTACCCTTGGGTCAGCATGAAAGCATGTGAATTCCTAAAGTGGGGTTTGGGAGGACAGATCCTAAAAACGTGCTGGAGAAGAGACAGCAGATGGCCTTCACTGTGCATACAGGTAAAGTCATCGTCAGCCAACTGTTGGCAAAAGACAGCGTAGCAAGAATAGCTGAGTCGCTTCCCCCGTTCCACATGAGCACAGAGACTCCCATGGTCCACCTACCTGGTGCAAAAGCAAACACAGCAAAACATTCTCCTGTAGAAGCAACTGCAGTGACCACGGAGCGTCGTTTGTCAAAGTACTGTGACAGTATAGTGACAGTCGGCAGGAAGCTAAGGCAGTACCCGAAACCTGTGACAGGGGGTTGGAAGGAGCAGTGAGGGCCACATCCGGGTGACACTGAGGCTGCATTCAAAGACCTGGGCCTTCTCTGTTTATTTTGTAAATCACAAATTCTGGGAGTCAAGTAATTCATTCTAGAAAGAGGTGTTATAGCAAAGAAAAATGGGTTTCTTAGTGGTTTGGGAAAGCTGCAAAGATGGATTTGGGGATGTGAGGAGTATGAAAACTGTTTTTTTTTTTTACTTTTCTGCACAAAATGCATTTTTATATGATTCACAATGGATGAAACTATTACTGAATATTATTGAATATACTTTTTATGTAAGACCTGTATTTGGACATAATTGAATTTTGATATGTGCAGAAAATGTGAAAAATTTACCAGTGTGCACATCTTAAATATCTATCTAATCTGTGACTACAGATGGACTCTTTTTAAAGGGAAAGAGGTTTTCGCACACCAGCCCTCCCGGCAAGAACAAGCCCAGTGCACCGCACCTTCGTCTACAGCTCAGGAACCTCTGGCTCTGCCTGGGGAAATAGCAGCAAAAGACATTCTTATCTTACTTTGTGAAAGTGATGCCTTTGGCTGCAAACTACCATGAAAGAGAAGTTCTCTTTTTCATGAGTAAATATTTTTTTAAAAATCTGACAAAAAAAACCCTCTTGAGCATTGAGAATAGGTCCATACAACCCAGCTCAAAACCAGCGATCTGGAGCTTATCTATTTTAAAGAAAAAAAGAGAGGAGAAAAAGAAATACACTTTGGGTTTGATTTCCCATTCCCCCAACCCCCCTGTGTTCTTCAAAATAAGTATCTGGAGAAAGTCTGAGCCCAGGAGAAACACTTACCAGAGATGATGCCAATTGAGATGTACATCTGGTAAACCTCCTGGGAAAAGGAGGCCACCACCATTCCTGTGCTAACAAGCAGCCCTCCAGCCATCACCACCACCCGGTGTCCAAAACGTGTGCTCAGCACAGTGGACAGGGGAGCTGCGTTAAAAGAGCATCATGTGATATTTTAACTCCCAGAGGCATAGCACTAGTTTTAATACAGTGCTTTTGTTTAAGTCTTGAACAGAGAGAGATGATATACAATCAATGTGTAATACATTTTATGCAATGGTTTCTTAAGTCGGTTCAGGAATTATTTCAGTATTTGTCTAAACTGGACAATAAGTTCTTTGGGCTCCTTAAAGAGAAAGCCAAAGTAATATAATATCAAACTTATAGTTATATTTTTAGACAAAAGATTTTTACTCATCATGAGTACCTATAAAATTAGACATGCAGTTGTGTTATTCTGTAATAAAAGGGTTTTCCTACAATGGCTTGAATTTTTTTTTTAACACTACCTGAGATTCTTTTAAGAAAGCTCCATTTAGGGTGGACTTCTAGCTCAGTTTCATTTCATTTTTCTGACAATGACATGAAAGTACAGTGAATTCTGTTATGCATACCAAAAGGGTAGGTATGAGTTGGATAATTCAGAGTGGCTGGTGAATTCTAGTTTGCTTAGCTTCTACACTTCATATGCTCTAAGACATTTACATCTGGCAAATTTGTCTCCTAGCTGTACATCAGTTGAGCTGGGCTAACATAGTACAGGACCCATTAAGGGGCAGGTAAAAGAACATGCTGGATAGAGTGGGGAAAAAAAGGACTAAATTTTGTTAGAGTAAGTCCATACATCTCCTTTATGTTAGCAGAATATAAGTTGATATTCATATTTGAAACCATTATAAGATTGTATATCAAGATACTGTAATAAAAAAATTGAAATTGATTATAGCTTATAATGAAACCATTATTTTCATTTTTAGGCAGTAGATTGGCTCAAAGCATTTTAAGTATACTAGAATAATAGCACTTGGAAGAATTACCTTCCAGGATAGTAGTATTAATAAAAGAATGGAGATTTCTTGTTGACTATATTGTTATCTGGAGCTGAAAGTTAAGCTTTGGGATTTTCTTTATATTTAGATGACTGAATGTAAAATTTGGGTTCTAATTCATTTAAATGATCTTTCTGAGAAATTAAACAATCCACGATTAAAAAATTAAGTATCTTAATACTCAAACTGGAACTGGGAATGAAACTAGCAGGAGACAGTTTTGGGGTGAATAAGAATTCGTCCTTGCCCCAGGAGGAAGGAAGAGTGGGGCTGCCTCTTTCAGAGACTGAAAACCAACTATATTTAAAGAAAGGTTTAGAAAACTGCAGTGGCAACAGCTCCACCCAGGGCTTTAGGGGGAAGTTAGGACAGCCCAAGGTCAGCCCCACTGACTTTCTGCAGTGATTTCAACAGCCTTGTTCTCTCAGGAAGCTCGTGGCGTGGCCCGACAGCCAGATCAACTGTCACGAGACCTGGTAGGCATGTTTCAAGTACATGTGTACGGGGCCAAGTAAAATTAGTATGCAAAAATCACACTAAACCCTGTTTTCTTTGATGTCGCCGTTTGCATGCAGGAGAACTGCACCCTGACCAGGGAAGTCCTGTAGGGAAGCAGGTGTATGGAATTTAGCAATTGTAACTTTACATTATATCCTTTCTCCCATCCCATTTTCTTCGTGTGTCCATACTACATGTTTCCAGCCTGTTTCCTAAGCCTGTTTTTATGAAACCAGGGTGTAGTATGTCAAGTAACTTTGATGTTGCTTCTTGAGAAAATGACTACATCCCCATGGAACTGGGGTTACTGCGATCCTCAGAGTAATCTCCAGTATCCCGAGTGTGCATACAGTAGGTACTTAATACATGTGTGTTAAACTGAAGGCAGTCAAGGCTGCCAAACGAGGCTCTCTTTTTCAGCACCAATGCTTCTTACTATCCCCAAATGCCCGAAAACCAGATATATTGAGCGAGAAAGGGCCAATAGACCATATAAGGAAATGCATCACCCCCATAGAGAGAACCATGACATAACCTGGCAAATGACATAGGCTTACATAATGTTTAAACTGAAAGATGGACTAACCTGTAAATGTTAAGACAAACACACATAGTGATATGATCCATGAAATCCTGCTATTAGATTCATTAAAAGTGTCCATTAAGTCATTGAAGAAGACACCAAATGACTTGATGATGCCATAGGTGAAGACTTCCACAAAGAAAAAAGAAATCGCTATTGCCCAGCCCCATCCCCCATCAGGCACTTGAGTATCGACATTGGTTCTGGAACAAAGCTGTGATTTCTTTTGGGTCATTCTTAACCTGAAATAAAAAGTTAAAAAAAAATTCAGACCAGCAATAGAATGAAAATGATGATTCTAATATGCTTTAGCAGACATAACTGAGAACTAGTTACCACATTTCATCAGTTGATGAATATTGAAATGATATGCAGTTAGTATAAAGTCTTTGGACAGTTATATATATATATATATGCAGATATAAAATCTTTGTATTATATATGGAGGCCCCAAAGAATTTGGAAAAAAGACTTCCAAGCTGTGACATTTAAATGGGAAACACAGAAATGTTAAGGAATCAGAACACAATAATTAGGGGCTCCTTGAAGGATACAGAATGGCCACCAGACCAAGTATCAGGGCTGACCTTGAACTTGAAGACAAGGTAGGGAAAGGAAGACTGAACTGATCATAAGGAATGTTGATCAGAAATGAAGCCTAGAAAAAGGCAGGCCAAGAGCTGAACACTGACAGGGCTCCGGTACCTTCCATGGGCTAAGTGCTTGCGACACTCTTTGTGTCTCCTGTCCAGTCAGATCATCCAGCCACCTCTCCTTGATCCCATTTCCCACTCAGCAACATTCCCATTATGATCTGGGGTCATATGCGGATGAACCTCCACGGACAGAATGTCACTATAAACCAAAGTGTGGGATTTCTGTGTCTGGGAATTTGCTTAGCATGAGGAAGCTCCTCAGAGCAGATCACCACTTGGCGTATTAGCAGTTGAAGTTCTGTATGCACCCCAAATATGCTAGATACACAGTGACCACATAAAGCTCTCCCAGCTTTCAGGGTGTAGCAGCCACTTAATTATGATACTCCTGACTTTGCTATGCTTTTCTGTTCAAACCCAGCAAACCCCAGAACAGAAGACCTGTGCCCATAACACCATGGAGTGAGAGGAAACACTATATTTAACACTGGAGGGAGGATAGTTCAACTCGAGTCTTCTACACTGGGACTCTAGTACATGAACACTGTCGTTTTCAAAGTGTGTGCAACTACATACAGTTTGGAAACGATGTGTTTTTAGATCAGCCAAAAATTAACATCTATAATAATAAATGAATCCATTGTCTTAGAGCTCTTAATGGCAACCCATCTTGAGTTTAAGAACTCACAATTATTCCATTGGATACAAGTGAATTTTCAGGATGCATGAGTATCCTTTTTATAGCCATAAACTGTGGTATTCAAGTAGTAGTGCAGTTTTTCATTGGTGATGGAAGGCACTTGAAAAATAACAGGACACAATCTCACCTATCCAGTAGACTTGCCAATTTCTGGTGTTAGGATCTAATATTCTGAACTTACTGTATAAATCTTAAAAAGCTGCAAATCTGACCTGAGTATCATCTGTCCTCTTGATAGCACCATTTCTGTAGGAGCCCAGGACTCTGAAAGAACTATCTACTCACTTTTTACCCTATTAGTGCTAAGTATTTGATTGCATAAAATAGGGCATATATGCTTTAAGAAGCTTATGCTCTCTGCAGCAAAGACCTTTGCATTTTGATGTGTCAGTGTGTCATTCCTGACGGCAAATGGAAAGGTGAGAAGGGCAGGCACATAGCTCAAGATACAAAGTGAGCAGCCACAGAACAGGTTGTCACTAGTGTCCTCAACATGGAAAGCAATGGATTTAAGATGGGAGCCAGAGGCCTCTAGCAAATGAGGTTTTCCTAATACTCCTCCTTCATTAAACTTTCAAAATGCACTTCCAAGATACGGCAGCTGGGGAAGAGGAGTGAAAACAGTACTAGGCTGAAGATTTAGAAGACCCGCCCCCCAAAAAGTCTTTCCCAGTGGGGGCTTTAGAATGTTTATCCCCAGGGAGAGGTGCAAGAGGGAGGGAGGGAGGGAGGGAAAGTGGTGGAGGGCTGCCAGCTCATGGCCTAGCCTCCACCCCTTGCATGCCAGCCCCTACGAGTTTGAGCGTTTCCTTGTGGAGCCGGCAACTCCTTTACTAGCCTCTTAACCAGCTCCACGCGTCCGGTTAATCTTTTAGACATGGTGCGCTGTCATGACATTTTTGTGCTCAGCCATTTTCAATGGCTTTCCTCTTTCTGAAGGATGAAATCCACTGATGAGCCTGACATTCAGTATCCTTCATCCCTAGAGCCCACCTCGTCTTTCTTCCTGTTCTAAAACTTGAGCGCCTGCCACGGCCAAAATAAGACTCCTCCTTACCCTCCAGTGCCCAACTGCCTTGCCTGTGGCCATGCCTTCCCCTCTGCCTGGGCGTCCCCTCTACGGCTGGTACCTTTAAGGCCCTGCTCCATCAAATCGTCTTCCTTCTATAACGCTTCCTCTGACGGACTCGGCCTAAGGGTTCTGTTCCTGTGACAGGCATCATGTAATAAGGGGGTATGATTTACCTTTGTGTATTTATCTTATTGACACAACTTATAAACTCACAGATGGTAAAATCTGGAGCCTATCTCTTGTTACCCTCCTCTTCAGTACCTTGCACACCGCTTTTTGTTTTTTTCAGTGAAATATTTACTGGGTTCCAGGCCCAAGCTAGGAAGACAGAAATGGTCTCTACCTCCATGGACTTAACTCTGCTCATAATGCCAAGGAGCTTAAGGAACTTTAAGACTGAAAGGATTCATATTTAAGACTCTCCAGCTGCGTCCTTCCAGAATTCAGCACATTTCTGCAGGCAGTCAAACATACTGGCTACTAAGTCAAAGGCCACATTGGCACGATCATTCTGACCCAGAGGGGTGCCCATAAAACCTTTTGAGTCTTAACACAGGGCTTGAGACCAATCTGAACAAAAACATACTGGGATAAAATGAATGAAGGCCCCAAAGACATAAACTGAATCTCTTATTAACCTACAATCACTTCAGGATCAGGAGACAGAATATTTTTGTGGGATGGCATTTAGATGAGTAGGGCTAGGCGGCAGATTTGGTATGAAGGTGAGATTGCCTCCCGTCCTCAGAAGGCTCTGGGTCAGGCTGGCATTTCAGTTCTGGGGATGGGAACCCATCTCTCTCTCTCTCTCTCTCTCTCTCTTTTTTTTGCCTCCTAGGATCCCTGGTTTGCATGTGCAAAATGGGTGGCATCACGAGCAACCAGGAGCCCCAAAGTAGAGTTAGAAATACAGACTGTTAGAGCTCAAAGGGCATAGGGAGCTTGTCTTGTCCATTTTACCGCAAAATCCTACTCATTTTGCAAAATGGGGAAACTGAGCCCCAGATCAGTGAAGAGACTTGACCAAAATTATCAAGAATTAAATCTCCTACCTCCAGGGCCCTTCCATATCAGACTACAGGACAGCATTTTACAGACCAGGGAGGGGCGTGTCTTAAATTGCAAGGGTGGGGTGGGGTGGAGTTTGGGGGAGGAAACAAATTTTTTAAAGATAATAGCTCTCTTGGCCTGTGTGTGTAAAGAAAGAGGTCTGTGAGTGGTTTCACCTGGTAACTGTGTGACCTCAAGGAAGTCACTATGCCTCTCCGGGCCCTAGCTCCCTTTAGCAGTGAGGAGGCCAGACTGGAGAATCTCTAGGGCTCCATCCAGCCTCAGCAGTGGATTATTTTGTATTGGGCACTGAGGTCTTTAATCACCTGATTCTTCAGGCCAGACCTGGTGGTCCAACATAGCCTTGGAGATAGGAGGAAAGTGCAAATGCTAGATGGTTTTTGCAAACGCAGGGGGTAGAGTAATTGGATGTTGGTTAACTGATGTGCCTGCTGATTAGATGACTGACTTCTGACTGCTCTTCTTGTGTTTACTTTCTGAGCCCCCTCTGCGTGATCAATTCCTGTGTCTGTTTGTTTAAACTGTGCTTTACATCTGTGCTACTCTCCTAAAGCTAAATCCAAATATACCTTTCACCCGCATGGTTAGGTTTTTGGAGGACAAAAGCTTTCTTATTATGACCAGGAACATCATAAAGGAAAGATGATAGCCCAGTGCCCTCTTCTACTCTAAAAGCTATGCCTTTGTCATCCTAAAGCATCTTATATCCTATTATATTTAGTTTTGAAGATAAGACCACAATATAGGATGGCAACAGAATAACCCTGTTTCTAAAGCATACTGGAGTTAATTTCTGCATGTTGCCTCACAAAGGGGCAGTCAGCAACTCTTTGCAGGACCCAGTGCCTGGCAAGATTTTTGGCACATAGTATGTGCTCAGTGAAAATCTACTAAACAAAATAGTCTTGGGGTGCTCCTCAAGTAGTGCACTGCTCTGTCCTTATAAAACCAAGGCATCAAGTGGGGAAGCCCTTGGTTGCAAAATAAATCCTTCCCTGGGCTCTTCTTTCCTTCCTTCCATTCCCTCAGCAGGCCAACTGGCATGAATTATCAGCCTCTACAAACAAAGCATTGCCACTAAGGCCTGAATTTGGAATCCAGTTGTGTAGAAACCTCTCTGAATTCCAGAACACAGACCTACCTGTCTGCTTGGGTTTTACATTTACAGTTCTGTGAATTTATCTGATGGGAGGGGCTATTTGTTTACCACGTGGAGAGCTAGCTGGGGTGGCAAGCTAGGTGCCCTTGTGGCCTGGGGTGACTCATCTGCCCCTTGATTTTCAGTGTGGTCAACAGGTAAGGCCGGGGAGTTGAACTAGACTGATGATCTCAGGTCTTTTCTGGCCTGAGGATCTACAAAACCTGACTTTGCTCTGAATTCCCCGATCATCTTAACTCTGGAGTCCTTTGAGATAAACCCCATGAGTTTGTCTTCTTGAGGCCCTCCAGCATTTGTTGATTTCTGTTTACCACTTATAACCTGGTACATAATCTTGAGGAAATCTCTTAATGTCTAAATTTCATCATTTGTAAAAGCAGGAGTTAGACAGGGTGGTCTTGCAGGTCTCTTCCAACTGTAAAACTCTCCAATTCTGAAGGGGGCTGGGAGGTGTTCCTGGCAGCCGTCTGCCTGCAACCTAATGATCTTCCAAAAGGAGTTTCATGACAAAATCTGCAGGGCACTTCGGACTATTTCCTATGAGCATTTGGGTGGCTTAGCCTTAAATTAGTATTCTGCTAAGGCTGGGAAATCTGCTCTACCTGGGAATTTCACTTGATTTGAATTGCTGAGAAAAGGTCTGACCTGGGGGCATGAAGAATGCTAACTACTGGATTATAAGAGCCCTTCAGCGTGTTAAGTCTAGTGTCAGCTCAGAGCAAAGTTCAAAATGCAGGCTTTGGATGGAAAGGTGATGGCTGCTGGTGTGAGCCAATCTCCTTTCTTCTGAAAGGCATAGCCTGGAGAACAGCTTTCAACAAGTTGTTTCCAGCCCCAGTTGAAAAAGCCAGTCCGTATTTAGGTGAAGTTCATCTGAATTCTCTATTAAAGGAAACTCCCAAACCTAACCCTGACGGCTGCCTCAGCAGCTTTGAATGATTGGATACGAACCATTCACCGTTTTTACAAGATCATGATGTTGAAACCTGAGCCCCTAATTTAAGTGTCCTCCTCAGGAGTTCCAGGGAGGAAAGTCCCTTTTTGGAAACCACAGAAGGAAAACTCAGGGTTAGTGGTACTCATTAAGATAGAAGGAGCTTTTCCACTTGGCTGCATTGTTTATTTACACACTGTAACTCACTATCTTGGCTACCCTTCCCTGAACTATGAGAAGAGGTATTTCTATATCCCAGGGGCGGGGTGTATTGTTGACCCCCAAATGCCACATAATGGTGCTTGGGACCTGGGAGATGCGTCGCTTAGAGATTTCAGCGTTTGGTATACTTTTACAAACGAGACACTTGTGTTAATATGATTTGCAAAACAGTAAGATAACTGAGAAATCTCATTACCAGGGTAGAAACCATCTCCTTCGAGAAAAAGCTAGCACGGAGTCTAACTGTGCCAACAAAAAAGTTTCCAGGTTGACAAGTTGTAATGCTCTTCCCCAGCTGGCTCCAGGGAGTTTTTTCTAAGACTAACGCACCCCCGTGTTTGGTGACATTTGAGGTGCCGCCTAACAAACTTGTACACCTGTCTGCTCGGGGGAGAGTGGGCGCTTAATTTTGAAAAAAGAAAAGAAAAACCCATAAGGAAATAACCCATTTCCTCTGCGAAATCATCCTCCCTCGCTGTAGAACTGCTCAGCTACCCGGGCGCTTTGCTGCGGTTCGCAGACCCGGAAAGTTGAGCGGGAGCTGCCGCCAGACGCTGACAGCTCCGACGGTCAAGGTGTAGGACCTGCGCTCGGCAAGGAAATCCCTGCCTCCCCCCAGGGGGGTCACGTTGGCCACCCCGAGTGTGTGCGTGGGGTGGCGCAGACCGGGATCCCCACTTTCCGGGGCACTGCCTCGGTGGCCGCCCAGCGTGCGCGCGCGAGCCTGGGGAAGGTACCTCTGACATTTCGCTCGCGACGCGCAGGCAACTTCATGCGGAAAATCCACGCAGGGGCTGAACCCGGTGCCCCCACTCGCCCCACAGCCTGAAGCCCCCAAGCCGGCGGGGGGGGGACTCAAAGGCCAAGTCTGGCTTTAGGTATTTTCTGGACCCCGACTGTCCCAGGGCCACGCACATTCAACTCTCAGCAGGCGAGAGCGCGTCATCCCGGTGGCCCTGAGCATTCCCAACTGTCAAGAGTATTTTTGGGATCTCCTCTCCAAAATGTTAAGATGTTAAGTGGTCTCCTCCACCTCCCTCCCCGTGCCCCCAAAAGGAGCTCCCAGAAAAGATTTAAAAAAAAAACCCCACACCCCACAATCAAACTTTTAAACATGTAAAATAATAAAACCAACTCACCAAGTTAGAAGGGAAGAGAATAAACCCCAAAAGGCTCCCAATAAGGCGGAGGCTTGGCCTCCCCCTCCTTATAAGCCGCTCGGTAACATGAGAAAGGTTTAACCCCTTAGGGCGTGGGCCCGCGCCTAGTGCAAGTTGGATCCGGCCCGCAGCGCCCCGGCCCAGGCCCCCCGCCCACTCCCGCGCCCGACACCCCGACCACACCCGCCTCCCGCCCCCCGCCCCGGCCGCCTGCGCCCGGGCGGAGAGTGCTGCCGCCCGCGCCCCGGCCCCGCGCTGCTGCCTATCTCTTATCCTATACCGGCTGCAGCCGGTCTCCGCCGGCCTCGGGGGCGCGCCGCCGCCGACCATGTGCTGCGAGCGCCGAGCGCCGCCAAGGAGGGGGCCGGCCTGGCGCGCGCGCGCCGGCCCACGTGGACCGGGGCCGCGCCCGGCGCGCGTCGGCTCGGGCCCGGGCTGGGGGGTCACGGAAGGTAACCGCGTCGCCGACCCCGGCGGGCAGCGGGGTCCTGCGGGGCCGCCGCCGCCAACGCCGCCCGGGGCCTTGGCACGCCGCCCGCGAGTCCCCCCACCCCACCCGGGCGCGGCTGTGCGCGCCGGGCCCGACCGGACCCCGGCGCTTTGCCGCGCTGCAAGTGGGGGGCGCGGGCGTGCTCGGGAGCTCCTGAACCCGGTCTGCCAGCACCCCCAGCTCCCGGGCAGCCTCCCTTCCCGCAGCGCCCGCCGTGCCCACCGCCCAGTCCCGCCCGCGCCTTGAGTGTCTGGGGACTGCGGGGCGGCGCGCTGGGGCCGGTTCCGCGCGGCGCTCGTGGCTGCGGCGGTTCCGCGCCCGCCCCGGGCAGAACAGGTTCCTTCCAGTTTGGGTGTGAGCTGCGCGCGCGGCGCCGCGGACCCCGAGTTCCTCCTCCGGCGCCCGCTTCCCCCGGTTTCGTTAACTCGCGCACCCCGCTGGTTCCCCTTTGGGCGGGGGAAGGAAGTGCCGCAGTGAGCCCCGGGGAGCCGGCGTCCCGGCTGCTACGGGTGCCTAGCTCTCCCCCCTTTGCTGCGGCAGCGACAGCATCTGCGTTGCGCGACAGAGATGTGAACAGCCGGGCTGAGTCAGCATCCCCGGGCCGGGGCGCGCGCTTATCCTCTCTTCCCGGCGGGAGGCGCAGTCCACGCAGGTGCATGGCTACCTCGCCCGCGGGCAATCCGCTGTAGGGGAGGACCCGACGTAAAGGGAGTTCGTGATCCTCATCCCCAAGTCCCCGACCGCAGGGTCACTGTGAAAGCAGCAGGTGCTGTAAGGTAAACATGGGGGGGTGGAGGGGGGTACAAAGCAGTGTGCCTCATTCCGCGCATTTCGGAGCCCGCGGGGGCACAGACTTGGCTTCCTAATTTCCACCTCACATCCCGAGGGTCAGTCTGAGACCTGCTTGGAGACCAAGGCCTTATTCACCGCATTCCCCTGCCGACTTTGGCACCGGCTGTTGCCTTCACTAGGGTTCGGAGAACGTGGTTCTGATGTCAGAACCTCAAGAGAGCCGAGTCTGGGAGTGCGTGCACGGAGGGTCGCCACCGGGAGGAGTCAGTGATCTGAATTTTAATAAATTTTGCAATCGCTGCCTGATTTCTCTCATGATTTTAGGATAGGGTCTACTAGGTTGAATGCCATTATGTGCTATTAGAAGCTCTGGCGTGGGTTAGGCGGGGAGCAGGTGTCTTGGTGTAAAGTGTCCTGTTAATGGTCAGTATTGTACAGCCAGGACTCACTCAATAGCTCTGCGATCTTGCTGGAGTAACTTTTTGGGACGTCAATTTCCAAACCTGAAAAATGGGCACAATAGTGTGTTCCTAGAATTTAGGGGTTTTAATTTTTTTATGCCTGCACATGCAGGTCGAAGTGACTGGAATGCGGCAAGCCCTCAGTCCTCATTGGTTCTTACTGTTATTTTTGGCTGACCAAATCCAGTTGCTGACTCTAAACACACCCTGCCAGCGATTCTTTTTTCCGAGTTGTTCTTTGACGAGTCCACACCTAATGATATGTAGAAACTGATTTTAATCATGAAAATGAAAACAGTTTTAAAACAGGACTGCTGGTAAGTGTAATCTTTGATGTTTAGGATCGTACAGTGCATTAGGACCTGTCACTGCACTTGGGATGGAAATGTCATAGCTAATACAACAGTGTCTACTGTATTGAGCTTTTCCGAGGATCCTAGGGGGTGTAGCCCCTCATGTATGACCGAGTGACTCTAAGCAAGTCACCAAAGATCTTGGTGCTTCCAGCTCCTGGATTTTAAAAATCAGACATTGCCAAAAACCCTATGGGTGAATGATCGAGATAGCCCTATCAGAGTCACATTTGACCAAGGGGAACACTGGCTGTTGGGGAGGCATAACCATAATAATATTAGTAAATGTATTGTTACTAATAATAACCATACCTACTCTTAATTTCTTGCAGTTTGCTTTATTCCCAACTCTGTATTAAGTGCCACACATGTGATCTAATCTTACCACTGCAGCAACCTTTTGCAGTTGACATTCATCCCATTTTATAGATGAGACATGTTGAGGCACAGAGGCAGCTGGAGGATTCACACAAGGCTTCACATTTATAGAAACACAGTGACCCTTTTTGCAACTAAAGCTTGTCCAGAGATGACATCCGCCACCTGCGTTTGGATAATAAGAGAGGTGACTGGAAACTTCCTCGGCCTGGTCTTGCCCGCTCCAGACCAATGACTTTTGCCTGTCCTGGTTGGAGGCTGGCTTCACCTTGTTCCCTCAATCCTAGTGAGATGAAGCTTGAAAACCCCTGCTTTTATTTTTTCACTCCTCCAGGGAAAGCAAAGAGAAGGAGAACACTGCATTACCATGCTAATCAAACCCACCAAACAAAACACTCTGTTTAGTTCTAAATACCAACAAAAGAACCTTTGGAGTCTGGAGTGTGGAACCAGAAAGATCAGGACATGAAGTTAAGGGTTCAGCTCCCCTCTTGCCTCTTCTGTTGTGTCTGTTGTAGCCCAAGTGCAGGAGAGCCTCTCTTATCCTGCGTTTACAGTTGGGTGAGGCCATAGTGATGCCCTGAAAAATCCCTCAACATCTCAGGGAAATAAATTGGCTCCTGAGAGCTATCCCCACTGCTCTCTCTTTTCTAGCCATTTTACTGAGGGTTATTTGCATGACAACAGATTCCTTTGTGGAAAGTTGGCCTGCCAGTTCTCCGTCAACATTTAGAGGCCTTCTAGTCTTCATGTTGGGTTGCTAGGCAGATATGACCCTGGCTTGCAAATAAGCTCCCTGCATTTACCAGCCCGTGAGAACTTAAACTTCGGAGTAAGTAGATTGAAAGGCATCTCGTCTGGAGCTCAGAGAGCAGAAAGCCTGCTTTCAAGGGCTGGGTCTTCAGAGCAGCCAGTGAAGAAGGGGAGATCTTGAGGGGGCTTCTCTAGGAGGTCTTGACTGCCCACCCATCCATTTTCCCTCTGTCTCTCCACTCATTCTCTCATCTAAGGGCCTGTGTTCCAGGTGACCCACATGTATTTGACTGAGGCCAATGCTTGCTTTAAAACTTTAAAGATCTACTTCTCCAGACCGCAGAGAACCTCACAAACTTTCCCACTAGGAATGCTGATGTTCCAGGTAGATACGTTGGTTTGTAAGGCCTCATCCAACCACCGCATTTGACGGTTTGAAGGAAAGCAGGTGTTCCTAAAGCAGGTTTGTCTGAGCACCTGCCATGGAGTTGACCTGTGCTCCGATAGGGTCGCACGGCTGGCCTGCTGAACCAGAAACAGGGTCTACCTGGGGTGCCCTGCTCCCTCTGTGAATGTCTCTGGGGGGAATACCGAAACACTGTGCCAGGGAAACTGCCTTTCGTCAAGTGAGTGTGTCCCACCCGCCCAAGTCCATCTTGTTAAAGATGGCTTTCCAGTGAAATCGTCTTATGCTTAATAATAATTTGTCCAAATTTATAATGTACATGTTTGGTTACAAATTATCATTTTCAATATAGTTGTGATAGTAACTCAATCCAGAAGGGATTCTTTTAATACTAAGTATTTAAAAAATGGATTTCAATTTATACACAGTCTGTATTTCAGAGAAATAGGATAAAGTAAGTACTTTTGAACACTAAAGTGTATTGTATTGTGATACAGTCTTGAAAAAAAGGAAAGTGACAGAAAGTTTCCAACCTACTGAGAAATGTTCTTACATGGCTCAGGTGTTTATATTACACTGGATACATGTAAAAGAGTGTTTTCTACATACAAAAGCCAACATTTTATTATAAAAGTCAACATTTACAGATAACTGAAATGGTATCTTTTGTAGCTATGTTATGTTACAATGAAAGGTAACTTAAGACTGTGATGATGGTTTGGACTGAATGTGACCCCCCACACACACACACTCCCAAGTTCACAGGTCAAAGCCCTAACTCCCTGTGTGACAGTATTTGGAGATGGGTCTTTGGGAGGTCGTTACGGTTAGAAGACATCACAATGAGAAATCTCTGAGAACACACACCAGGGAAAGACCCTGTGAGGACCTGGCAGGAAGGCAGCCGTCTGCTAGTCAGGAAGAGAGCCCTCACCAGAACTCTGACCTTAGACTTCCAGCTGCCAGAACTGTGAGAAAATTAATTTCTCTCATTTAAGCCACCCAGGCTGTGGTATATTGTTTGGGTAGCATGACCTGACTGATACAGAGGGGGTTTATTATTTTTCCAAATTCTTTTAGAGGAGACCCAAGAAAAAAAGTTTGCAGGCCACTGAGTATGGCCCATGTTAATAGGAGGACAAGAAAGATGTGGTCCTGCCCTCATGGATAAGCTCTCTGGGGAGATAACACCCACCCAGGAGTCACCATAGTGGCCCATGTGAGGCCAGTTAGGGGGCTACATAACTGAAAGGTATGATGCAAGATGCTTTAAGTGGTAAGATGCACATGAGCCTGGGCCCTGGGGCCTGACCTTGAATCCCAGCCATGCTCTCACTAGCTATATATTCTTGGGCAAATTACTTGCCTTCTGTCTGCCTCAGTCTGCTCATTCATGAAAGGGGGATAATAGTAATGCCCACTGCTTAGGGTTGTTGTGGGGGGTGCTTAGTGCTGTGCTTGGTAATGAGGAGGCTCTAACTCTTAGCTGG